TTCTTCAAAATATCACCTTTGTTCCAAACAAAAAGAAAACTAGTACAGGTTTGGAACAACTTGAGGATGAGTAAAAGATGACAGATCTGAAAACTAACTATCCAAAATCTGCCCCATTCTTACCAAAATATGTTGAGATGATTCAGTTTATGTTTGTCTGTAATTCTCATTATCTTTCAATTATAATTCTCATTACTGTAATGAAAATCACCCATACAACTAAAAGACAACACAACAAATACTGCTCATATTTAAATACTTTAAAATTTAAATAATATATCATTATTTTTTTTCTGCATTATGGAAATGATAATGAGATTGTATTTTACATTACAGTAACATGAATTGATGGTGAAATGTGCTTAGCTGGCATGAAAATGATGCCACAATGCAAAATATCCTAAAGCAGGCTTCATTTTCTTTATGCAAATATAATTTCTTTTTCATTTTGAGGTGAAATATGACCAAACGTTTCTTTGACAGGCTTCGTAAGACTCACCTTGTACAGTTGTGCCCTATTGAAACAGAGTTAATGTTCAATGAGAGAATAATGTAGATGATGTAACAGTTTCAGAGGTGTGTTTTGTGTTTGCTTTTTGCTGTGGTAACTGTGCCATTATCTCATTATCGTGGCCTTTGAAGACAAGGTCACTGCACACTTCACATTGACACTGACACCTCTTTGGAATCCTCAGTTTTCAGTAGTACATATTAATGCATATAAAATGAGTCTAAAAAATGACAAACCTTGTGAGTTCTTGTGCTGTCCGGGTCCATTTTGGATGTGTGAGACCAGGAGGGAAAGAGAGGACAGCTTACCCATGTTTACTGTCATCATCCGGAAGTGACCTTAGTGAACTCGAGCTGAACGCTCGACTCCTTTCATCAGGGAAAATCTCCACTCTGCAAACACAACATAAACAGAGTGAATTAGTAAATTAGAGACACCATTAACTTGAAATACTAACAAACAGACAAAAATGGTAATAATAGAGATCCAAAAACCCCTTACATGCCTCTGCCAGTGCTGCAACATCACAGAGGATTTACATAACATTCATGGTTCAGTGTGTCTCCACCCAATTGCAAAATTTACAGAAAATGACTCTTAAGTTCAATGACAATGATGATGCTTGTTTTTTGTGCTTTATAAAAATACCTTAAGAATACAGTTCTCTTCTATTATGAGCATGTTTTTTTCATTTCTGTAATAAAATGAATACATTTTTTGTTTGTTTGTTTGATTTTTGTTGGGGGGAGGGGCAAGTTAAAATTACAGTTAAAACTGTTCTGATATTACAATGGAAAAATATATTTTTTAAAATGCCTCAAAAAAGTTTTTAAAGTAGTATCGTTTTGCATGATATAGTAATATTTCTTCTATTCTTATTATCTTCTTATTATAGCTATTATTATTTTCAAATTACAACTATAATAATTTCTATTTAAAATATATTTCTCCAATATACACAGAAAAATATGTGAAATGATGGGATAGGACCTCTGCAAATATTACAAATATTATAATTTTATGTGTGTGTGTGTATGTATGTATATATATATA